TGGTACTCCCATGATCTCTATGCAGTTGGGGGTTATTTTTGCAAATGGTGTTGGGGTCATCCAGCTGCTGAAATCAGAACCGGGGTTTCAGTGATGTTCCTGGTACGAAAATGTACCAGACGAGGGAAGGCACACTACGTTAACTGCAAGCTGCAGGGACATGAAAGCACGGTTCCCAAGTTTCAAAATATAGATTTGTACACATTTCAATAACTATGCGAGGAGGTAGTGCATATTCATCGTCCCTCACGGGCCTCAACCTAGCAGTCAGTAACTGCAAAGTACCCCACAACACAAGTACCCTCCAACACCAAGCCAAACCACACTCAAACCTGCTGCAACAAACCTACAAACAGCTGTTGCAGTCTGTACCCCTTTCCTTTCCTGCAGCATCAAGGCTCCTAGCAGTGCCCCCTTTTTTGACAATGACGATGCTGAAAAAGAATTTCCAGTATCTTGTAGTACTGTAACTTAAAACTCCATGAAACTTCAATGTTTCTGTAAAAAACCTGATTACTGAATGGCGTGATGTTCTCTCCTCTCTAACCAGTGTTTCTTACTACTTGAAAGAAGAAAAAGCCTAAGACATATTACATTTACAGTTTAAATCGAGTTACCTTTATCTTTGAGAAGGCTGTGAGCTGACCAAATAAAGCTAACCCCGGATTCTCAAAACATGGAAAACAGCAGTGTATTCACGCTGTGAACCTTGTGTTATGCAATACAGAATCCACACCCATAATTGTCCTGGTTTGGGTTAAAACAGAACCGATTCTCTTTTAGTCAATCTTCCTTAAAGCTAAGTTCTTCTAAGTAACTGCATTTTTCTGAAGTTGGCTGCATATTTTACAGGCAGTGTCCGCTCCAAAGCTGGTAACACCCAATGATTAGTTATACTGAGCTAAGGGCAGGATAAGAATACAGAAAAAGGCCCCTGTTTGCAATTGTTACTATAGCAGCCAAGGTCACCAATAGATATCTTAGGTCCCGCAAGTGAGCAGTCATAAAGGGTCGCACTTGCAGGGAGGGGTGGACAGAACAGGTAACCCAACATTGACCCACACGGTATTCCATGCCATGCACGTCACACTCAGTCTAAAGCAGGGCGATCACCAGGGTCTCACTCTTCATCCCTGTCCAGCTTCTGGAGAGGACCCTGCTCGTTGTCCTGCCTGCGATCCTGATCCAGATCCAGATCCGTGCATTGCTGAGTCCAGTTCCTATCTACTGCCGACACCAGTCCGGGACTTCCTAGTGCTGCCCGGCAGCGCCCTGGCACACAAGTCCAGGAAACTCAGTATCAGTTTTGTATATTCTGCATTATTTCTCTTATTATTAATATTATTAGTAGTATTATTCTAATTAGTAAAACTTTCTATATTCAGTTTGTAAGTCTCTCTCCCTTTTCCTCCCTTTTC